TCGTGGGTGTAGGTAGGGCGCAGGTTCTCAAATATCACCCCTTTGTTTCCTTTGGGACGCTTGCCTTTGCCTTTCGTAGGCTTGCCTGGCGGAAAGAAAACTAATAGGGGTGAACGTCAATTATGCATTTAAATGACAGCACGAAAAGTGAATAGGTAAACACATGCAATTTTCAGTATAAAAATTTAACAATACCTGTTGCCTAAGCAACTGAAAGTAGACTTAATAATACCTGTTGCCTTAGCCCTGTCTTTTTCCGTCCACTTCCCAGTTTTACCCCGAAAGTCACCGATCCCAGCAGAGGTAGAGATTCCAGCACCTGAAACAATATAAGGAAATAAGTAAAAACTGTTCTGGAACGCTCAGGATGGTTTGTTACAGTATTAACGCTAAAAAAACACATCATTCGCTGCTATGTAGTTAACAATGCAGAGCGTAAAAATGATGAAAGTTGATTAAAATGAATAAAAATAATGCAACAGGTTATCTCACATATCTCCGAAACAGGCCTTAAAAACGAAATTTCCGTTTGTGGTTGCGAACGCCGAACTAATGACTCGAGCCGCGATTTCATGGCGCGAACAGTGGCTGGATACGGCATATGTACAGTGCCAGTAGGCCTATACGCCTACAAATGCTTCAAAGAATATACATTCTGTAAAAAAAAATAAATTAACCGACTATTTCCACGCACCTGTAAAAGCTATACAGTGGCTGGAGGTCATTATCATTTGAGACACCCTCTTCGCTTCCGACTTCACTCTCTCATCACAATCAAAATATTCTGCCGTTTTCTTTGCCTCTTTTATCATTTTGATCTCCTCTGCACTAACGCCATCTTCCGTCCGTTTGCACTTCTCAGTCAATTCTACCCAGCATCTCCTGTGAAAGGTGGCGTCGCCAGAAGCATGCCAGTTTACAAGAGCTTTGGTTTCCTTCAGTCCTATTTTTTTTAAGAAAAACAGCAAAATTGTACTTAAATCATAAAATCTAAGATAAAAACTATTTATATCAGTTATAAATTATAATTTTCCCATGTTATATTTTTAAATCGAATAAAAAAATAAACAAACAAAATGAAATAAAATAAAACAAAGGAGGTTAAAATGTTCAAATGATAAAGTAACAGACCAGACACTGTCAAACATCGGTCATCACGGCACAATGTTGTACTGTAGTAGTACTCGGTCCTTATAAGGTACGCTAATATATTAATGCCAATACATACTACATACTTACGATAGATGAATCGTGCTACCACCGCAAAGGTCGAAAAGCAGTTTCCATCAGGATCCACCCCCAACCTCCCGCACACACACACACACACACACACACTCAACTGCGTCCAGCGCCTCCAGCTTCCGAGGGTTAACCATAGCTTCCTTGTCCAAGGTCAATAGATGGTGAACCAGACGTTATGTTTTACTCGTGTTATTTACAGTCTCTAAGCAAAGAATAATTCTATTTTTTATTCCATACCTGTCTGTTCTGGTTCAAAGGTCCTGACCTCTGTCCTATCTTCTCCTGCTGTATCCTGACCACACTGTTTATACTGGCACACCACGGCCGACAGCAACACAGGGGCCTCTGCCATGAGGTTGATGATCTCTACATGCATTTTTATTATTATTATTATTATTATTATTATTATTATTATTATTATTATTATTATTTGCATTATCATTATTTTCCTTATCATTATTATTATCATCATTATTGCGATCTACATGTAGGAAATTTCGTACACTGGTAGGGTCCTATAGGACACCCTATAAGAATATTTGACCGGAATTTCTTTTGGGCTGCTCCTTTCTGTTTATGATACCGGGTACTAGTAAGTGTCCTAGCTAGCTATAGGACCCTATACCAGTATGAGAAATTTACCCGAAATCCTACATGGTCTTTAAGACGTGTTTTCTACTGGCCCATAGTGTCCTAAAGGATTCCTAGTCTCAAAGAAACTTTCATAAGAAACTTTCATAAGAAACTTTCACAGAAATAGAAGGTGCATTATTTTTTCATTGCTTTATCTTATAAACTGCTATTATACTCATTAATAGAAGCCCCCTAAAAATTCCAATTTTGAATGAAATAAACCCAAGGATGCAGATCAAAGTACCCTGTACAACCGGACATGTACCGGTACCTGTAGGCCTACCGTATATTGGGTGATTATGAAAATGAATGGAGTAATATACAGGTTTTGTCAGTCTCGTATTGGATTAACGCGGTATTGTGGAACCCATAGTTAAAGAGAGAAACGGGGTTATAGGTTAGCTTTTAGGGAAATAAATTTCAACTCACAAATCTGTCGTCTGACTCCCAAATCTCTAGGCGGCTTATTTTCAACCCGATCAGCTTCAGGAATGTTTATAGTTGTTAATGAAAACGAACAACCACCGATACAAACCGCACCTGGCCAAGACGCTCCACAACCGTGGTAAACAATACGGAGACGGCCGGTGTACCTGTGCTGTCCCAGTGCATCACCTGTGTTATCTTCCGGAGGAAAGCGGATGTAGACCCAACATAGGAAGCTAAATAAATGTTCTGAGCCGTCTAGATGGGGCTTGTTCTATTTCTTAATTTAAATGGACTTTGACATAACTGTTCAATTTTTCCCTTGGCTGATAAATACTCAATTCTATTTATTTATCTATTACTTCAACCTCCTTTATACCTACCTCTATTCAGTCCAATCGGCCTGAAGCACAGATCCTATACTACACATTGGCCTGAGCGATCCTCTAACACACTGGTTTAAACAACCGTCCTTATTACACATTGATTAAAACAAGGACGTATATATTCAATATACGCCCTTGGTTAAAACGGTCTTCCAGCCACCGCGAGTTCCGGGAAGCGAAGAGCTGTTCGTGGTATTAATACTACCAGCTTATGACACATACACGACAATAGAGAAGAGAAACCAGGACTGAGGACTGACGGCAATGCCGAGGGTATGGACAGCCATTGATAGCCCCCTCCTTCCGTAAACACACACACACACATACACACACATGCACACACACACATGCACACATGTAAACGTAAATGAATTATTAATTAATTATCTATGCAATTATGAATGAATGAATGAATGAATGACATTGTCCAGAAGTATGACTCCCTATGATAGCATCAACCAAATAAAAGGGTGATATTCCTATTGCTCATAGATGGTCAGGTAATTATGTCACAGAAATAACACGCAGCCGTGTGAACGTGAGTAATCTGAGTTTGGTTAGTATGCATATGTATCAAAGAAAGGGTACCAGTTCTCTACAATAAATACGGTTCAAAGCTTTTATATAGTTTTTTAATTTTTGTGACTGTGAAATGTTGATATGTATCTCAATCAGTTTAGATTTTATTCTTTCTTTCTTTTATTTTCATTTTCTTTCTATCTTTCTATGAAAATGACGATAACGGTAATCTGGACCTTTCAAGCATTGATTCAGCGACTAACTTTTCATACAAATAATGTTTATTCTCTATTTCTCCGAACTGATCACGTTTTTACTTGTTTTCTTTCCATTCTCTGAATGATTACTTAAAATTTTCCATTCTCATGTTGCATTCAACCATTCAGTATTTCCTTATTATGTAATTTATAAGATTCTTATTTTCAATAAAATATCTTTAAAATAATTTGAATTATTCATACTTGGATCATATCAAAAACTCTGTTGGTACGTGTTAGAAAAGGCGACAGAAAATAACAATTCTATTTTGAAATTAACCAATCAAATAAAAGTATATGTGACTTTGATATTTTCAAACTTTTCCTAACACTTAAACAATTTCTTCCCTTGTTGACTCTAAAGGAAATTAAACATGCACCCAATTACTCCCTATTCTTTAATTTATTTGATTCCTCTTCTTCTTCTCATTATTATTATTTTTTTATTATTATTTTTATTTATTTATTTATTTTTTATTTATTTATTTATTTATTTATTTTTGCAATCAGTGAAGATGCACATATAAGCTATCAACTTTACAGTATTTTTTGAACATCATTCGATTTAGATATATTTATTTATTATTTTTTTATTTATGATTTCCTCTTTTTCAGTCACTCATTTCTTTCGATTACCTATAGCATATAATGATTAAGGCTTATCCTTATTGTGGACGCTTGTTTATCATGTCCATATCTGAACATTATCCTATTTTATCCGACACACGGAGGAGAGAGCGGAGGGATGTTATTAGGTTCATTCATAAAGTACACGCGTACTAAGTCAGTGCAGTACCCGGATGTGACAAAGAATGTACACCTCCCTGTATAACGGAACTTACGGAAGCCCACTGTCGTTATTATTGTAACTATCCTCTTTCTCCCTTGTGGGTCTTTGTCATTATTTACAATGGGGACAGAGTGTTATTTCTTAATACACGGTTTAAATTGATGTTAAAACAGCACACCGATCCTCCGTTTCCATAACTAGCGACATAAGATTTAAACTTTTTTCTTACTTTTATCTGTTGTTATTATTATTATTATTTACATATTTCTCTCTTTCTCTTCAAGTGTCAGACCTGGTGTAGGCATCGACGATCATGGTCCTGCAATTTACTCTATTTTCAGTCAGTTGGATTAGTTACTTTCTGGGCAGTCTTTGATTTATTCCAAATACATATACGCATGTTTATTTATTATCATTTTTGGCGGGGAGGGATGACCGAACAATTTATGATTATCCCAACAAAATGACAAAAAACGGGTTAAGTGAGTTGCTAGATAAATAGAACTAAATAGGACAAGAAACACGACACAAAGGACAGACAATTAGGTAAACCGCGTGAATAATAAAATCACTACAATCTCCTATCTTCAGTGTTTTTGGTCCATATTCCCGACAACCCACAGCAATAAAAAATTAAATATCCTCGGCTGCGGTTAAAAATAATCGCCGATAGGCTCGGGATACTCACTCGCCGTGACGAAGCAATTTTCGTCCACTGATATAATAGTAACACAGAGTCCCCGATTTACGGATCATACGACCTGCTGCCTTCCGGGAAGTGGGGTGTATATATATAAACCATGTAAACATTAGGATTTCGAAGAACTGAGCACCAGGTGTGGAGAGTCAGGATACTTGAGGCCGCCGATACTTCAAACAGTGAACTACGTATTCACCTGTCTTAACTGTAGAAGTTTTAATCCGTTCATGATGGTGTTAACAAGTGCTGGTGTTTTAGCAGTCGTTGCCTTGGTCGTGGGTTTGATTAACGGAGTGCCACAAGTAAGTCGTTTTCAGGTTTGTTTTGACTGGTAACAGGGTGGTAAAATAGGTCTTTCGTTGTCTATTGTACAGTGACCGTATAAGACAAATTTGTCTTTTAAATAGACTGAACCCGTTTTGAAGCTCAAATCACTGATTTTTATGTAAAAACAGTTTTGTTCCTATAGAAAAAATTTCCCATTTGTCATAGATGCAGCTTGTTAATACCATTGATAAAAACATATATTTATTTCTTTTGACGCGGATAGCTTTTGATGCTTATAAGATTAAGCATTGGTTTTTGGTCGAGTATTTTAGAATAATTAGTTCGTAGCATCAAATTCCCAGCAAATTTTAAAAGACTGACAATTATGACTTAAAATAGGACAAGAAGATGAATAAGTTTATTTTGACGATCTTTGCCCAAAGTTAAACTTGCACCATTTTTCGTGACGCTGCATGTTTTAAGACGCAGACTAACATCTGGACGTTCTGTTTACATCAACCATTGCTGATTCTCATAACATAAAAGTAAAACTAAAACAACAGTTCGTTCTATAGTATGTCGGATCACGACCTCATTTTTTGCACCCGAGGAAAAATATTTTATTCCGGTTGAAACTTGAAGAGTGCAGCCCGTAAATTAATTCTCAGCTGTTGAATTAAAAATGAGTCATAAGTGGGATCGCTTTCACAAAACTTCCGTTAATTGTATATAACAGCGGTATGATATAGTTTTACGTTCAATACACCGGTGCAGTGGCAGATACGAGACATCAATAAGATGAAGAACAGTTAGCCTCCCTTATTATGAATATTACCGCCGTATCTGCACACGTTTTACGAGAAAATTAGTTTAAGCGGAACAAATCTTTTACCCCCCACCCCCCTCCACAGAATACGGATTTTTTTTCTAAAACGCTGCTAATACTCTGCAGTGCTGTGTGTAAACTAGCAGCGTTGGACAGAATAAATCCACTCTAGTTTTATCATATAATTGCGCCATTTCAGCAAATGTTGTGAGACCCCGTAACTCCATATATTACACTATAAGATCTAAAAAATACAAAGCACAACAATAAAAAGTCTGTTGACTTAATACATGTATAACTACGTTTATGATTTCTAAAAATCGTTATACGAAAACACGGTGATAACCATACCAAGCTACAGAAAGCGAACGATCAACCACTTTGCGGTTATAATGTGTCACAAGGAAGACCGCAGTACCGCATCAACGTATATTTTGTCTCATTGGTGTTATACATTGGTGTGGTTGACGTCGCCGGGACCACGACGAGGCGCTTAAAAGGAAGACAAGTTGACCCCGAAGACAAAGATGAAGTTGACAAAGTTTCGGCAAAAATCATTGCCTTTTCAAGAATATTTTTCCCGTTGCGAACGTCTCGTCTATAATACAGACCCCCTATTTGAAAAAACATAATATTAACACGAGTAAAATTACAAAGGAATATATACTTTGTCAGCCGTTATAACTTTTAGACAATATTGCTCCAAAAAGATAATAATAATAATAATAATAATATTACATTTAAATAAAATTATTATAGGGGTTTCTGATAGGATCATGCGTAAGAATAAAACTAATGTCTCCGTTTCCAGCCACCGGTGAGGTGTGGTCCTGTCCTGTCACGCGTCCACGACTTTTCCGCGTGCCTCGTGGCGGCTGGCGATGTCGTCTGACGTGAAAACCGTTTGTCTGACTAAAATGTATATTTTGCTTACATCCTGCTCATTAACATTTTGGTTCAAGTAAAGTCTACTTATTTCTACGAAATCGGTTAACAACACAACATGTCCTTAAAGAGTTTCAGATGAGACGCCAGGCTGCCATCGTTAATACAGGTAGTATAAATAAACATACTGTACATATACGTAAACGTGTACCTCCTTGGTTTATCCAAAGATTAGTAGAACTCTACACCTCTTTGTATTGTCGTATTTTGATTCATCGATTAAATCATTCGTATTTATCAAAAAGAAAAAAAGGTGGTGCCTATTTAAGACATGAAAATTCCAAATCAATTAATCATTTTGACATTTTATAAAAGTAAACGTATGCCTTTGACTACAATTGATGACTCACAACTGTCCACGTGATTCAGTTCTGATAAGGGTTGCTCCGACATAGACACAGAACTATCGTCAAAGCAAAAAAATGACTAAAACGTGTTTTTAATTTCTTGATAGAAAACATGTGGATGGCGTAATATCAAGTCATCTGGGGATAAAATATCATTTTTGGGGGGATTTCTGATACCAGAGCAGTCAAAATAGATAGCGAAAACAATGGGCAGCTACGGTCATAATGCGAATAATGAAAATAATTCATAAATATGAAAATTATTGATTTGTTTATTATAGCTGTCGTAAAAAAATCAACTGACGTAGACTAAGAGTTTGACGTCATTCATACATGTAGTAGGCCTACTTGCAGCCTACGTCAAGTCAGCCCGGTTTATTGTAAAAGGTGAAAAGATAAAAAATATGAGGAAGACTAAGAGAAGGAGAGGGTGTGGGAAAGAGAGGGGGAAGGGAGGAGGAAAGAGAGAGAGTAGAGGAGGGAGAGGAGGGAGAGAGGGAGGGAGAGAGAAAGAGAGGAAAAAAGAAAGATAAGCAGCGGGGCAGCATCATTTCTCCATCAAAACACAATCTTATATTTATGCTCTGTATACTCTCTTCAGGACCTGACGAAACAGAAAGTTTCACTGGCGCCCGCTTCCTTGAACACGACCTCTCCTGGCTGTGGCGGGTGCGGGGCAGGGGCGGTGCCGGGGACAAAGGTCAGGACTTGTGAGAGAATGCTGCAAGACGCCGACTGCATCGTAATGAAACGGTGCATCCACAGACGGCCTAATTTTATGGGCGGAGGAACAATGTCAGTGGCGTGTCCACAGGTGACCAAGTGAGTATTAGGGCGCATTCCCATAGATTTTAGATCGATCTATCCCCGTGGGGAGTCTCACTAGATTACTGTCAGATAATCCGGCTTAAATGTCCGTCCCGCCTTCTACAAGGTGTAAGGGGGTAATTAACTTTAGTGCCCGCTCGGCTGACAGCTATTTAGCGTGAACCCCCAGGGAGTTAGGTCGATCTAGTTGGATCGAACTAATCTCTGGGAATGGGGTCTTAAAGTGGCATGTGGGGTGGGTGGTGTAAAAGTTTACGAAAACAATTAAAAAAGAATTAAATTAGAACGTACTGTAGTGCTAGCGAATGAACAAGGAAATACAAATCCCTGATAGTGACGCATAACAAGTATCTTCTTCCTCCAGATGCAACAAAACTGAAAGCTTCTGCTGCAGCAACGCGTTTCCTGTGTACGCAGAAGCCCCTACCTCGGGACTGGAGACCGATCTCGAGAGGATAGAGCGACATCTGGAGGGTCCCGTGGCATGCGAAAGTACGTTAACTGTAGCTATTCTGTGGACTGAGAACAAATGATAATGAGAATCGTCTGAGAATGCCTAAAACGAGGCTGGCGGTTTCACGAGACGTCATAGTAGACAAAAAAGCGTGGTCTGAGAAACGTGGGGGCAATCTTTTGGCAATGGGGTAAAACACATTTAGAATATCGTCTTGGAAAGCAAAATTCGTGAAATATGCTAGTGAATGAGTCGCGAAATATGATGAAATCGCACTGTTTCGCAATAACCTGTTATTTTACAGAACTTAAGGGAAAACAACGGGAAACATACCAGTGGGTAAATTCTGCCCACTTTCCTTCATTGACGCGCTAGTTTTTTTCTGCTCCCACTTTTCTCCTAATCTCAGATGATTCCCATTAACCTTGACAATAAGACGGTTTTACAAACTGTCAACTAATTTGCAAACGCTTCTTTCATGAAACTTCATTTGTACAAAGCCAATAATTTTTCCTCCTGTGAGAAAAAAAGACAGTTGGAGGGGTTCTAGATAAGAAATCCTCTTGCGTGTGACTTTTGTTTTTCGGAATTCCTTCAGTCAAAGATATTGCCAAGTTACCCCAGCAAACTAATATTTAGATCTGTTTCTTCCTTCTAGTTCCAAACTGGACCACGTGGTCATCGTGGTCATCATGCAGCAAGACCTGTGGAGGGTTTGGGTGTGGTCAGCGCACGAGGTTCAGGACCTGCTTGAATAAGGACCGCGTAGAATGCAGGTAAGAGGGGACGCACGACAATTAATTCCTCAATTATTCTCTACAAAATAATATGCACACGCAGACAGAATAAATAAACAGAAAACAATTAAATAAGAACATCTTCCTTACTTTTTAAGTTTACTGGATCCCCCAGCGTATACATCATATTTACACTGTCTTTCCCACACTGTTTCATGTCGAGAGACATTTGTTTCAAATACATATTCTTTGAAACATAACTTGATAAATGATCGTCACATTAGGGTCAAAATTCAATATTCACCATGAACGTCGTCTTACACACTAGGCATCGCTCTCATTCTCTTCCTGTGCTCTTGTCTTCAGCAATTCTCACCACCAGGTGGAGACAGAGGCATGCGGCAGCAGCGCCCCCTGTGAGACAATTCAACAGAAACCGTGTCCACGTTACAGCGCCTTCTGGTGGGGATGGTGGGGCCGGACCCAGAGGCAGGCTAAGTAAGCATGGGCTGGCCATTGCACAGTTGAAGACGATATCATTCGTGCTCTTAAGTTCATTTATTCTTTCGTTCATTAATTCATTTTTCTATACATTGACAAATGATGTATTATTCAAGGTAAATTCAATGCTTGTTTAATTTACTGATTAATTCATTAATTGAGTCAGTGTTTAATCCATTTGTCATTTTAGGATATTTTTTATCAATATGTGTCTTTATTTTTACGTTTGTTTATCTTTCAGCTGTGCAACTCGTGTTAACGAGTGTTGCAAAGGATACAGCAACTATGGGAGAATGTGTCTAGAGATCGCTTAAAGTTTGACACTTAACGATTTCTTATTCTGTAATACAGTACAACACGCAAGGTTGTTATAAAACCTGCAGTTAAAAATGAACGTGTCACGTTTTTAACAAGTTGTGCAGAGAAGTTGAACCGTCACCTTTTCTCTCTCTTTGCAACGAGTTTGTATGGCGTCACCATTTGCGCCTTTACTGGATCTGTACATAAATATGAAGTTAAACGATTACCTTGCAGAATAAATATTTCTGTCAACTTAGTGTTTAAACAGGAGACCTGTCAACTTAAAACACCTTTTACCGACAACTGAGTCAGTGAGCGGAAAATGAGCTGAGACACATTTATCGTCAGCTTAATACCGGATCTAGTCACACTAAGATGTGTGGATGAAATATGATAATACTCGTGCGGAATGTTGACTGACAGATTAAACTTCTATGGTTTTATTGTTTTGACGTCACCAGCACATTCATTGTTAGATATTACGACTTTATCAGATTAAATACATGTAGTTCTCAATAATTATATCTTTATCTGATTAATATCGGTGAAAGCATTTTCCGTCTTATCGTGCTAAATATACGTTTATCTGTAAATGCATGCATACTAAAATAAAAACATCATTTGAAAGAATTGATATTCAGAAAATTCTTTAAAATGGCAGATATCAAAGGTTCAGTATTCAGGTGTCAACCTATACTTAAATGTGTTCCCTTCACATGCTGGTCTGAAGGTTTTAAAACGCACAAATTATATTTATTCATTGTTTCACTTGATAATGTTTTCATCTCTAATGTATTATCTAAAATGTAAATAAGGAATTTAAAGTGAGAAACTACAAATTTAAAACTTAAAAAAAAGACGCATCAATCGATTTGATTAAGATATATCAAGTCTAAATAAATCTGGTGTATAGTTACTATTCCTTTTTTTTTTTTTTTTTTTTTGTACATGTATCAGTCCTTAAAAAGCGTTTAATAAGGGTTTTTTGTCAGTTAGAAAATACTCTCTTTGTTCTCGTCAGACATTATAGTTATTAACAAATATCTACCTGCCAAGCAAGTTGTCCATTCGGTTCTAAAGTATTACGTTCTAGTATATATCTTAATTCATCATACAAGGGACATTTAAGTTTATAAATGCATTTCGTCCTCTATCGTGTGAATGTCCATTCTGAAACAAAAAGACCACAGCCATAAATATCTGTGAAGTCTTCTCTAACGTCTTTTTTATTCGATCATTAGTTCATGACTTGAGCAACAAGTGTTTAACGGGACCTTTCTTTGTTAAAAAGTTCATGATGGCGAGTGGTATCGCTCAGGATTTAAAGCGTTTTTGCATGGCAAAGAGAATGTGTCGCTGGGATGGTCTGTATTTCCATTTTTAAATGAAATATTAAAATATAAAGTCTACTGTTACACGTGGAATGTAGTCTAAAAGATCTTTAACTCCAGCACTTAAGTCACCTTCAATAACGAATGGCACATGTGGTTAAGGGTCCAATAGCTTAAGTTTATCATTAAGCAAGTCGCCGTCATTGTGTAGTCGATCTCTCCGGTGTTTTGGAGGTAAAAAAGAGTTCCCAACTATCGCAATGTTATTCAGACCCTTTCACAAACAAATATATACTTATTTATGTCACTAAGATGATTTGCAAGTGAAATAACCAATATTTTAACTATTCGAAGCAGATTTCAAATTTTATTTGAGGTCGTTTTTACAGATCTTTGTCAGCGTCTCGTACATTTTTACGGTATTTTATTTGTTGGCGTCCTTAAAAATTACCTAATACCTACTTTGTCACAATCCTGAGGTAGAATTATCTAGCACTAACATAGTCACTCTATTGAGGCAGAATTATCTTGTACTAATAATGTCACACTGTTGAGGCAGAATGAAAACAAACCCCATCAATATATATTTTAAGGCCATATTATTTAATTTTTCCCGCCTAGCTCAACCCGCAGGAGACTTCATTGGTCGTATTTTCATTGCATGTAAAAATGCAATTTGGAGGAGGCGTGTTTATACTGTGCGCATATTAAAATCCGGAGACAATACGAAAGGTATAGGCCTACACGAAACTAATATACATACCCTACAGAGTATAATATAGACAACAGCAACTAAACCAGTAAATGATAACGATGTTATTCTCGTGCAGAAAGTCATCGCCTCTGCTCCTAGTGCCCAGAGCACGAAGAGGTACCTTTTCATCTCTCAAACCTGTCCCGCACCGTATTCCCGGCACATCTGTCTAACCGCGACGTCTCTCAAGATACCTCTCAGGGCGAGATGCCATGCCAGACTACTTAGTCCACAGATCGTCACTTGGCGGGTCCCTGCACGTTCCTCTGTGGCGCAAAATCGTACAGAGTTGCGTCAATATTTTGCGGTCGTGCTTTCGAACTTCGGATAACTGTCTCAAGTGTTTGTGCGGCTTTCAAAAGGTTGGACGGATATATGTAGTGAACCCCACCGCAGCACTTTAATCTGTGTTGTGTGGGACTGTCTACAGACAGCTGTTGGGGATCGTGTCCTTGTGGAGCCTACGCCTTCTTTTTGTTGTTGACAAGACGTTGGTGGAGCATCCGTGACGTAAAGTGCTACCTTTGACCTGTGTTGTATTACAGCCTTGGCAAGATGGTGTGGAGCTTGTTTTTGTTGTGTCTTGTTACTGCTGTAACAGGTAAGTAGGAATTGCAAACATTTAAATAGAAGAGACATTTTATCGTTGGTTGATTAACTTTCTTATTTCTTTCGTTACTCTAACTTTGCTCGAAAATATGCACAAGATTTAGAGCTTTTGAGAAATATGCCAGGTCCCAGGTTGTTATGAGTGTCACATTGAGCAAAGTTATTCAGTTCTTGTGCGTGTGGACATACATTAACCTTGAAGACATGAGATTGCTCTTTTCTGTTGTGTATTTTATATAACACAGGTTACTCAGTAGAACTGTGTTGGTCTTAAGTTTGTTTAAACACTCATTGTAGGGAGTGTGCATGATTCCAGAAATTTAATAGTTGTGCATTTTACACACACACACACACACACACACACACACACTTTATCGCTTATACACACACACATACATACACAATGGACCCTACATGTACTACATATAATAACAATGGGAATAACTACTATGCCCGCTTTTTCGCCTCCTTTATAGGACGTCCGTCAGAACTTCTATAGAGTGTTATGGAGGCCTGTGGGACATCCTATCAACAAATTTCATAAGATCATTCAGTGGTGGATTTAGGGGGTTGCCTGGAAGTTCCTGACCCCCCCCCCCCCTTCTCCGATTTCTGAAAAAAAAATGACAGCAATGGTCCCCTCTTAAAATTAGAATTTTGACTGGCTGAATCACAGTTCTAAACCGTACCAAATGGCATCGTTCGCCCTCTAAAGTGCCAAAAATGTTCAGGCCCCTTTACCGGGCACCGATTCCCACGAGGGTCGGCTTCGCATCTGAGGATCCCCCCTTTCGAATATTCCTGGATCCGCCCCTGATATTACTAGTTCTACTACTTCAATCACTACAACTACTATTACCGGCACTACTACTACAATGTACAATCACCACCACCACAACAACAACAGCAACAATTGCTACTACTATCTGTGTGCTACATCCTGCTGATTCTTCAGGTGGTCGCAGTCAGGAGTGCAGCGATGGCCAGGTCGTAGAGTGTATGGCCCCAATGAGACGCTATTCCCTTGATGTGCTCTCTGACCTCTTTCCTAGATACCGGGAGAACGCCCTCAAGGAACTCTGCGAGTAGGTGGTGCACTGACATTTAAAAAAACTAATAGAATCACTATCAATTATATTTAAATAACTTAATACTTCTTAATTCTACAGAATGCAGTTTATGACTTTAAGAAGCTTTGATGGAATTGTCCGCCGGTAGTACCGAAAGTTGTTCAAAACATAAAGAAGGGGAATTTATATTTATATGTACTTAAATATATACGTACTTATAGACGGGATAAATCAAATTAATTTAACGTGGTTCATTGCAATCTTACGCTTAAGCCATGTATTTCTTTTTCAATGGAAAAGCTGTAATATCACATGTTGGTCGACTGATAGTGATTTGACTTGGAACAAGGCAGACTAAGACCCCATTTCCATAGATTTTAGATCGATCTATCCCTGTGAGGAGTCTCACTAGATTACTGTCAGCTTAGCCGGCTTAAGCGTCTGTCCCGCCTACTAAAAGCTGTAAGGGGGTAATTAACTGTGGTGCGCGCTCGGCAGACTGCAATTTAGCGTGAACCCCCAGGGAGTTAGGTCGATCTAAATCTAAATATCTGGATCGATCTAAATTTCTGGGAATGCACCCTAAAATGCAGGCTCAGATTTTTTTTAAGTCTTAAAAGATAAATGCTCTGTGGTAAAACTGGCCCCCGATGTCAGGTATATGTCCTGAGAAATGCACCTTTCTTCCAGCCATTACGAGGAGTCTGAAGATTGCTTTAAACCGCTGAAGGAGACGTGTCCGCCATTGGTGGAGAGGCAGATTGATGCCATGGAGGACGCCTTTGATTTTCTGTGTGAGGACGGCTTGGAAGGTGAGCAGACGACAGCGTCTCACCTGGAGTCAGGGCCAGATATATGTATACCCCCAGGAAGAACAGGGCAGAGTAAAAATATATTGCGTGGAAGTTTTAATGAAAATTATTTGTTCCATAACTTGCTTACCCGTATAAACACAAATTGCAGCGAAATACTTAATATATAGTTACATGTTTTGTTTTGAGTTCTGTTCTTCAATTTTGACAGAAATCTTTCAATCTCTTTTTCTCCTATCAGATTACAAAAAGGTAGAGGAATGTTTCGAAGCATCTGAATACATAGGGGCTACCGACGCGTGCCTGGGGAACTTCTTTGCAACAGTAAACATAGAGGCGGCAAACGGGGAGTATCCAACATGCTTGTAAGTATAGGGCTGTCAGAACGGATAGTATCCAACATGTTAGTAAGTATGGGGTGATCAGAACGGATAGTATCCAACATGTTAGTTAGTATAGGGTTATCAGAGCGGATGGTATCCAGCATGTTAGTAAGTATGGAGTTATCAGGACGGATAGTATCCAACATGTTAGTAAGTATGGGATTATCAGAGCGGATGGTATCCAGCATGTTAGTAAGTATGGAGTTATCAGGACGGATAGTATCCAACATGTTAGTAAGTATGGGGTTATCAGAGCGGATGGTATCCAGCATGTTAGTAAGTATGGAGTTATCGTAACGGCTAGTATCCAGCATGTTAGTAAGTATGGGGTTATCAGGGAGGATAATACCCAACATGCAAGTGTGTATGTGGTTATAAGACCGGATATTATTCCACCTGCTAGTGGGTATGGGCTTTACAGAACTAAGTATGGGTCTATCAGCGCGGATAATATTCAACATGCAAGTGAATATGGGCTTATCATAACGGATAGTATCCAGCATGTGTATCTCATGGAGGACCGCGTTGTGTGTAACGCAGTCTGTATTCATTCATTCATTCATTCATTCATTCATTTATCCATTCATTTTCTGTACGTTATAATTCCAGTGATATGAGTGCCTTGGTGAAGTGTGGCTATGAAGCGGCTAAGTACCTGTGTGGAGAGGAGGCGGGCTACTGGCAGTGTAAACAGAGCAAACACGCTCTCAGAGCGCTCTTCATTGGGAACAGCTCCTGTGCTTTGGGTGCGTTTGTATTTATATCTAATTATGATATATATACTTTTCTGCATTCACTTTTACATTGTATTTTTAACAACAATTTGGTCAATCTTCTAATGAGAATTTGCCCCGCCGTATTTTCTAACCGTATTCCTCTTGGTCTTCTTTTACAATGTCATCATTAAGGATTGGTCTACTTCATATATTTTGCTCACTTATGCTTCTGTCTTTCTTGCTCGAAATTTATGATTATTATTTTTCCGTCTTCCTTTTAGACTGTGACCCAGGCAACGATCCAGCCCCAACGAACTCCACTGATGGCGAGGTGAAGGAACACGAGCCGGCCGATGGAGAAACAAAAACTGAAAAGGAAAAAGATAAAGAAAAAGAAAGTGAACATAACAAAGAAAAGAAACAAGAACACGATCAGGAAAACGAAAAGGATAAAGACGACGAGAAAAGTACCTATACATTGGAGGATAACTCTAGTAGTAGGGAAGAGGTGGATACCGGAAGTACAGTAGAAAATGGTGATTTCAAAGCCGTGCACCGAAACGAGGAAAGTGAAGAACAAGGCAATGACACAGGGATTCTAGTCGGTGTCATGGGCGGCATTCTGATCGTTGGAATGATAATTGTAATCATTGGATTCTGCAGATACCGAGCTAAAAAACGAGGACGTCTCGACGAGCAGCCAATAGTCAACGACGCCCGTTATTCTGCATCAGTGCCGTCTATCGTCCCCGTTACTGGACCCAGTAGCGTTCTGTTCGTTGCACCTACAGCACGCGGTCAAACAAGACGCGAGGGGGCGCAGTTAGTTAACGGACAAGGAGGAGCAGCTTCGTACGGCGGAACTGTGTCTGAAAGAGTAGATGCACAGAATGCTCACAATGCGAATGTGTCTGCGTATATCTAATATGGGTACATGACTACTTTAACATTGTTTATATCTCTAGCAGTATTATGTCCATGTTGTCTGTGGTGTAGATACAATAATGGTACCGAACTGGTCACGAAATGAAAGCAGTGACGTGGGGGATTTGAAACAACTCTATGGGTGTATTCCCAGAGATTTAGATCGATCCAGAGATTAAGATTTACACCCCATTTCCATAGATTAGATCGACCTACTTTAGATCGACCTAACTCCCTGGGGGTTCACGCTAAATAGCTGTCAGCCGGGCGGACACGAAAGTTAATTACCCCTTATAACTTGTAGTAGGCGGGGACGGACACTTAAGGGGGATTATCTGACAGTAATCTAGTGAGACTCCCCGCGGTGATAGATCGATCTAAAGTTGTGGGAATAGACCCTTAGATCGACCTAACTCCCTGGGGGTTCACGCTAAATTGCAGTCAGCCGAGCGCGCACCATAGTTAATTACCCCCTTAAAGCTTTCAGTAGGCGGGACAGACGCTTAAGCCGGCTAAGCTGACAGTAATCTAGTGAGACTCCCCGCAGGGATAGATCGATCTAAAATCTATGGAAATGGGGTCTATGATATAAATTATAAGTACGAGTAAGTTGGGCCTATACACGCTATATTATTATATGCATATTATTATGTGCACACCACCCCGTTTGCTGAATCAGGTGGTGAAATGACTCGCATTAACCCAACATCGTCGAGATCACGCGAGATTCGCGTTTCCATGGCCCCGTATCATGGCAAATATACAAGCCCGGTCCACCACACATATTTGCATATAGTCAGTAAAGGTTAACCATTTTCATGGCAATATGTGCATTATGACTAAGCATTTTTGTGGTATTGGTTTGAAATTGTTGATAAGTGGGAAGCATCAGCCTTGCCCATATTTTATCCATTGAATGACGTATTTACGCCCATAGGAAAAACGTGCATGTGCCCTCTATGAATAGGATTCAAATCACATCACAGACTGATAATAATAATAATACCAAACGAGAATTCATGCTCCATAGCTGTTACACTGCACTGCTTGGTTTACATACTTGTATCATGCAGTGATACGAAAGGCATTATTTTGAATGTCATTGTGTAACGAAATACTTGGGTATGCGATGGAGTAATTAATGCTTGGACATGCCATACAAACAACCTTAAGCTAAGGGATGTTTTTTATAAGAGAAACTTTGGAAAAGGCAGACGATTAAGATGATCTCTGTACATAGTATACACATATATTGTAACATGGGTAGGGGAAATTAATATATCACTAATACTATCTAGTACGCCAATCTAGTAGTTAATAGCACATGAGTAACTTTTCCGTTATTGTTAAAAATACATGTAACTGTCATGCTATGTATCACTGAAATACATTTTTAGTTATTTTCAATTTCTTAATAAATTATATAGGCACAATCTAGCAGCTTACGAGTTGCTTGATATATGACGTGATATAAAACTTAACATTTAGTTGCCTTACCCACATACTGGGAATGAGTTTAAATTTCCGCCACACTTAACTGTCCATTTGTCCATTTAAACAGACCGCAATGGTCAAAAACGACGTAGATTTATGTCATTTATGTGGTCTTTTGACGTAAACAAGGCAGTTAAGGTCATTACACTGGGGACATGTGATCTCATATTTGTAAAACACGTGTCATCTTGTGAAGACAATGTATAATAACACCGCTCTTCAAAGCCTTTACTGTGTGTCCTAGTAATAACGTGGCCAGCTGGAGCAGCTTACAAACACATATACTTGTCAACACTTTCTCCTAGATGGCACGTCGTATGCTTCTTGAGACCAATTATATCACCTGATGTAGCGGACCTCAACGGACCTCAATTTTATTTGAAAATAAAGAATGATAAGAATGTTGTTTATTGTGCACGAAATGACAAAATGGGGGCATTTGTTCACCCTCTCTAAGTTAAGGAAATAATAATAATAATAATAATAATAAATAATAATAATAATAATAATGATAATAATAATAATAAAAGACATCGATGCCGTATTAGGGACCACTTAATAGTGAATAATGGGCACCATTATGAATGCATTATCGAATGGAAATATATATATATAGACGCATTATTGTGTTTTATAGATATAAATTAGTCATCTGTTGTCACCGTTATTGGGATGGACTGAAATGGTCATATTTGTTAATTAACACTGAGATTATGATGACCACAACGAACTTCCTGTTAGTCGTTCATCGCAACAATAATAACCCACAAATAATGCCACAATGAAAGAATGGATTATAGAGCCCTGCTTTTTATACAAAATGACCACACTCATTAAAATAAAAATCGTATCTGTAATGATGAACAAGACTTGTATAGCAACAGTATAAATGAAAACCAGGATCAAAGGACTGCGCGTTAAATACAGCAAGGTATCAAGAGAAAATGATTGTCGTTAGATTCGTTACCACTGTCAAAAAATAAATAAATAAATAAACAAATAAATAAATAAATAAATAAACTAAATTCAAATACACAGAAAGTAAATGTTCAAAAGCACTCTAAAAAGTGTCACCATCACATTGCGCTAGTTGGGAAAAGAAAAATACGCATTGTTAATTTTAAAAAAGAATAAGAATAATAATATAGTGCAGACAACACACAAGTCCAAGTAAACTCAAGAGCTTTTAACCATAGACGTCCCATGTCCGTGGGCACGTGCGCTTTGGGGGTGAGAAAGAACCATTCTATGCTGAAAAGTACCTATCTGAATTAAATACGAACTTGATTCTATGCCATTTCTCATATTGGGTCAACTAAAGGGGGGGGGGGGGGAGAAGGCCCACTTTTTCATAAATAAAACCCCCTTTGAAACTACTCCATGTCTGTATCTCTTCTAGAGATAGTTAGATAGATATTTTATTTGTTCTGCAATGTGAACAGGAGCACAAGAAATAATACCTTTTTTCTCTTTGTCAAGATCAGCAAGTCAAGCCGTCAAAACTGAACTCAAGATATGAACATATTAACATATATCGTTGGTATATTTGTTAGTCCAAAACATGTATGTAAGTTACTCTCTGAACTCCCAAGTTTCACACCACATCACGGAGGTGATTAATTTGTATCTGCTGTATTAGTGTTTTGATTGAAGCTAACCAAGGATTAACATTGGTTGTTCGTCACATGAAGTCTTAATATCGCTCTGTGCATAGTGGGTTTATCCCTACATGCTAGCCTATATTAGATATATGTCATTCTTGTCAGCACACCTTAGCAACCGTACTATTTAAATTCACAATTGAAATACGGCAGTGATGTGAACTCTAATGCATGTTTATTATAATGTGTCATTCTATCAGCTATTATGCCTCTGCATTTCTCTCATCATCAGGTTTCAATTACATAACAATATGTTGTGGTCGTTATACAAAGAAGGCACAATTTGTACACACTGATGACGGTGATACATCACTCCAGATTAATGACAGTGACAGAAAATATTTATTTCTCAGTGCCGGCGTTGAGTGTTACGCATCATTTTCAAACGTTTATAAAGTACTCTCCGAAAAATTAATATCCAGAGTCAAAAATTTCCCTCCTTTATTTTCCCTCCCTCCGTATTGTGACCTGTGCAACTTTAAGGCGTACATGCATCACGTAGACGAAAGAGGTACGTCCTCATTCCAAATATTTCAATATTTAAAAATTCACAATAATAATTTGTATTCATTTGAAGTCTTAAATGTTTAGTGGAGTAGCAGAATAGTATGAAAGTATTGTTTTTAAATAACAACAATTATAGGCGGTTAGAAAACAAGTTAAGCGCTGGCACTTGGATCTCTATGGCAATACACAGACAAAAACGCGAAAAATGACACCTGTTTCTAAATATATTTTCAAATGTTGATGTAACTTTAGTACCTTAGTTTTAAAATATTTCGTTAGTTTATGTCATAATGAAATTTTGTTAAATCAACTAAATAAATATATAAATGAAATAAATAAATAATAAAACTTGGCAATATTTATATATGTTATACAGTTCAAGTAATAAGTTAAAACGAAAATAAAGATTATTCAGTAACATTGACCAGCTTAATGTTTACTTTATTTAGATAAAGATTAAGTAAAAAGATTAAATATAGTGAAAACAGCATTTCCATTTCCTCTTCTACTTCAATATGATACAGCTTCCGTCATAGGTGACAGCAGAGACTTCGACTATAATAAGGCGCCGAGGCAAAGGGCAGTGCATTTTGACGCAACCAGAAATTGTTTCAGATAGAGAATTAGCACTAAATATCACACTTGGAGTCATTTACGTAGATGGTACGAGGTCTTGACACCTCGACTGGACTGACTGTCACATGACAACTGTGACATTTAGCTTGAAGTGTCCTGATGAAGTCTGCGGGATAAAAACAGAAAAGTGAAAATTCAAATTCATACCATCTACAGTACTAGAATGTCCAGTTAGATATCTAATATTCATTATTTATTCAGTTAGGTGATGATGAGCTACTTGCTCTCTCTCTCTCTCTCTCTCTCTAATTGTTTTATTATTATTATTATTATTTTAAGCACGTAGTATTATCCAACAGTTGAGACGGGCACTTCTTTTTCTCTGTGCATACACCTTTTGTAAATCAGCTATATGATAGTTCAGAGGGCAGCCATCATTTTGCTGCCCTCAACCCCCTTTATGAACTGAAGAGGATAATGGCAATAAATCAAAAATATGAATTTTGGCACCATGGCCCGGCGATCCTCGTCCCCATTCAAACGCGCCGTAGCAACCAAACAATAGGACCGTTTCAATAATTCTTCACCAGTATATGCCGCACTATATAGAAACCCATATAATTCATCCTGAGAGGAAACGGGAAAAGGAGCGCGACAAAATCGAATGTGACTAAAGAGCTTTGCGCAGAATTCTCGGACAAGGGGTGAACACGGTAACTTACCTGCAGTCCGAGTAGATGTATTTCTGGATAGTTTACCTCCTTGCCACGGTTGCGCTGACCGATTCCGGACCAATTGACCATGGCGGGGAGAGTTTGGGTAGGGTTCTGTACATGGATATGGGTTCCGTGGAGGATAATGTGAGTACAGTTATTCTGAAAAATAACCCCATATATATGTGTCTGATATATTTTAAAACAACGTTTCTTGTTACTGTTTACAGATTAAATATCGATTGTAAATACATTTACTAATTTATTTAATATTCCAAGCCTACTTTAACCCATTTTTCAATCTCAGTTTTACACATAGAGTGTCGCTCTAAATTTACCTCACAAAATTGACGAATTCGATTATCTTATCTAAAATATTTATATATTATATTACGATACACTGATATTATCATCACAGCGACCTGAATAATTTCGAACGTAAACAAAATATATTTTTTCTTGTTCTAGTTTTAAAATTACAAAAAAAACTGTCTTAAATTTCAAAGTGCGTACTTGAAACACAATGGAAATGTCACATACAGTTCACATTTAAACTGTATCTTTTTCAGTGTTGATCAAATTGCAAAAATGCCTTAGTGAATGGTCGTACATGTGGAATAAAAATTTGTACTGGAATTGATAAATATAGCTTTTCTTCAATTTGTCATTACGAATTTAAAAAAGTGGTCTTTAAAATATTATTTCAAAAGTGATCACTTTCATATGACGTATACACCAGCAAAACTGAATTTCTAGTCAATTTATTTTAATCGACTAAAAATACTTTAATTTACACCAATGGAGTGAATTACAAACAAAAGAGGAAGATGCTCGTCTGTTGTCTAGAATGTCACACAATATACACCTATTGTAAAGCACATCACATGTGTGTTTTGGAGGAGAGATACACTCTCTTCTTTCAAGCGTCAGGGCGTGCATATATCTACATAAATGCATTCTGCCATTCGTCACTGTGTGGCTATAAGGACATCCTTGCCTCCTCGACGCGCAGCAACGTCTCACGCATTGGTTAAATATTTCGTTTTCAAGATGTCTTGGACTATGAACATGCATTTTGGACGATAGATTGATGGTACATATAGAAGTGTAAAGAGTAGTAAGGTACCTCAATATACTAGTACAAACCTCTAGGCGGTGCCACTGTCGTCTGAAAAGCGTTGACGTATTATACAAGGCACCTGCAAGTTTGACGTCACAATAACCTGGACCTAACATGCATTCTTTGATATTAATATATATAATTACTTGTAGCATAGCCTACGACCTAATGTCCGCATATTTGAGGTCTGATAAATAACATTGACTGATGACGTAATCACCAAACATAACGTTAACCAATGACGTTATGGTCGATTATTTTCTAATCAGTGAAAAAGGAAAGTAAATCAACCTGACGACAACAATATATTTTCCCAGCAAAAACTTAAGAATGGAACTTTTCAGTTAAATCTAGGAAAGCCGAACGCTACCAGCCACCGGAACTATGGCCTTAGCCCGGACCAATATGAGGAAGCTCGGAGACTGTGGCACAAGATTCAGAACAGAGAGAGGACTCGCGTCGGCAAGGTGAGGGGAAAACATCTCAGTATTACTATCCACAATTGAAAAATGTCCTATTTCAATATAAAAAAGTGACGTTTTCTTTGTTTACATACCATGTAAGGCTACTGAGTCCACACAATTACCGACAGTCAAAACGTTAAAATCTGTCAACCAAGAGTACCCTATGTCTGTTTATCCAATGTACTAAATATTATGGCGGTCTAAATGACGACCAGTCTTTTAGAACAAAATCATTTAATAAGATAAAATATAAAACACCGAATCCATGGGAGAGAATTAATTTGTGATAGGAGAAAACTCGATTTAGCGGGAAAAATCCAATATCGGACACCTTTTGTATATTGCATACATGTCCACGCGAAACATACATTGCAATATTTTTTTTCCTAGTAAGAAGAGACATTAGCCATGCTGCATCTCATAATGAGTGAAAAAGAGCAGAATATCCGGCTTTAAAGTTACTCAAAATTATATTTTTACATTTTAAAGTGTTTTAAATTTCAATATATATATATATATATATATATATATATATATATATATATATATATATATAATTAATTAACTGCAAGCATCGAAACATTATAGAAAAGGGTTTGCTTTTTGCATGTTCTCATTGAATGTCAACATCCTATTTTCGCAGGCACCATTAGTTGAGAACGAGGTGACAGACATTTTGGCTGGAGATATGATCATGCACCCGATTTTACTGCGGAGGATTGACGAGCAGCATTCCAGACGTCATAAAAGAAAAATCATCAATTTTGACAGATTTGCGTCCTTAAAGTGGAGCCTTACAATACCGTTCACATACGACCCCAACAATGAAACAGCTCACAGTAAGTGGTGATATCACCTGATCCAAATACAGTTTTCAAATACTTTTGTGTGAAACATTAACTGGTTGATATAGAAACTTATATGAGCGAAACAGGTCTTAATTCTCCACTTTGGTTATTTACTGTTCTTGCGAACATACCAGAAACTGTTGTAAACAAAGCATTCCATGCTCTTTCTCAGCTGATTCTCAGAAGGAGATAATCCGCGAGGCAATGACCGTGTGGGAAGAGAACACGTGCCTCAGGTTTCTGGAGTTAACGAGCGACGAGGCAGCGGCCATGACCAGCGAGTACATCTTTATAACGGCGCGGAGCTCTGGGTAAGTTCAATGGACGCTTCCCAAGCACGTCGACACTTTCACATTTCTTGAAGTTAAATCGCTTTTCGCCTGAAGCATCAACATGTAAGCCATTGTCTTAATTTCTCTCTACTCTTTTGGATTCATTTTGCATTGAGATTGTTCAAGTCATGAAAACTGCATTTGTCGAGATATTGGACATAAATTGTGCTTGCCAATATGGCTATGTTGTTTTCCCATCAAACTTGGCACTTGTTCACATTTTCCATAATTGCTCCAATGACACTTTTTGAAAAAAAAAAACGAACGAAATTGCTTATTTGTTTTCATCCTTTTTCAAAAAACTTTTCACGAGAATTGCTTCTTTACAGTTGCTATTCCTACGTTGGGAGAACAAAAATAGCTCAGGACCTTAATCTACATAGCGCGTGCTTCTCCATGACTGCAGTGAGTATGAGACACAACGCAGAAAAAATAGTTTCCAGGATTGAAAGAATTCTACACGCACTTTTCAACTATGACCAACCCTTAAACTAACTGTCAATCCCAAAACATGCGTTATTTACTGTTTTGAACAAGGTTGCTAAAAGCTCACGTTAGAACTGTGTAGATGCATTGTTGGACATCTTTAAATGATTGAATACCGTCTGAAAGTAATTTGACCCGATATTTGTAGGTACGTTTGTACGCATAAATGCGTAAATTTGGCAATCTTGTTCGCATATCAGTGTTTTTCCCTCGAACTGAAGGCATGATAGGTAGTTGGAAAACACCTATTAACTTCCAGCAACCCCTTTATCTCTCTCATCCCCTTTAAGAGTAAGAGTTGATCTCTTAATCTGCGTTCAGTACGCTTTGCTGTTGAATTAGTTGCTATATGTCATGCCTCAGCTATCATTTAATAAATTTACGTATTATATATACTGACAATTCTCTGCTGATTCATATTAAGTAGATATCCAGTAATTTTTGCAGACGTGGAGGTTAGAAAGTACCATTGTAACTTCAAACATAATCGGCATGTATCGTTAATCCATAGAAACCATTTCAACCATGTGCTTGTGGACTTACGTTTGACGGACGATAAATTTAAGTTAAGTGGGCTGGAATACCATTTTTACTAATGCAGGCACTGATCCATCAGCTACAAAAGTGATAGATAATGATTTATGTAAGAATTAATCAGAAATTTGTAATAACTTCGAAGTATAATTACAATCAAACCGCTAGTGCCTCAAAAGTCAGTTGCGTTTCCCAACTCGGCTTGTGATATTTCTCTCGAACATTTTCAGAAAATCGAAAACATATTTGGAGGGGAGCCCGTTTTGATATCTAACATCCGTGAGGTAAATAATTCACTAAATCCTAAATTTCGCCCCTCATACGTAGGACCCACGTTTCCTACTGCGCCCAACCCTGTAGCGACCTGTCTCAAAACGAAATCACCAGAAGCACGGCGCTTGTGCTGCGGTTGAACGCTGGTCCAAATATTAAAAAATGGCACAACTCGTACATTGGACATTTAAGACCAAAATTACAGCCGACCTTTAAAACATAAACAGTGTTAGTTAATTGTATTATGGCAAATGGCCTCAAAAACATCTTTACATTTTTTAGAGAAAAAGTCAAATATCATTAATGACATCGCTGCTACATGTAGGTTCAGGTCAAAGAAGACTCGTTTTTGGTCTTAAAGTTGTCACCAATACGAGTAAGTCTGTTTTATATGCCTGAACTCTGCACATTCTCAGTGGGAAACCTTGACGTCACTGAGAATCACATGCAAGCAGAGTAAAGGAAATTAACATTTGCGAGGCGTAAAACTTAAAGTAAGAATCAAGGAATCTCTCTCTCTCTCTCTCTCTCTCTCTCTCTCTCTCTATATATATATATATATATATATATATATATAATGTAAAAAATACAACATACTTGAAAGTATGTTGTTACAAGAAAATAAGTATATATTTTACAAGAAAAGAATGAATGAACATTCGCCCTCAAACGAACCTAAAAGCAGCGACTTAGTGCAGCGAAACGTGACTAGTAGTGGGGAATCTCTTTTATTGGCACGATTTCAGGGCAACAATCTTTTTATCATTATTGGAAACGAATGCATACTTCTCCATCTGTCCTTATCCATTACTTGTATGGCTTGGATTTTTGTTGAATTATTTCCGGTTTTTATATGACATCTTCTAGAGGTCTTCAACTTTGACAAGACGTTACAGACCAATTTTGGCACCCGTCTTGTTATGCAATTTACTCTTTTTTCAACTACTTTGTATGTGCTAACAAAAATTGATAATTTAAACAAAATGTTGGACAAATTCCATTTATTCGTTAGAAATATCATTTTCATTTGATACCCCCACCAACCCCATGGTATGTTTCTGGCTTGCGCACCCAGTAATGTGGCTCGTGGCTCGTGGCGCGTGCACTGCTTCAGCTCTGGTGGCAATGTAGTTCCTTTTCAAGAGGCCTTTTCACATCGGGCGATAAATTGTAGCTATAAACCTGTATAAACAGGTGTGTAGAGCTTGACAACACCTGTAGATAACTTGGTTGACATGCTTAGAGACATCTCGACACACCCATTTTAATGAACAGCAGGAAATGAACTAAAGTTCCCAGTAGGGTAAATATGTGGTAGAACCTGACAAAATATACCAGTACAGACTGTACCGCTAAAGTATACCGCTCGATGTGAAATGGCCCTAAGACTGACCATGCAGTACAATTGGTTTTACGTACAATAAATCACCCCCGGTACCACATGCACTTCAGAGTATTCTGTACCATGTGAGATACCAGTAATATCACATTTTGTTATAAACCACTCTGTGTATCATCATTGTACTCGCTCAAATTAAAAAAAAATCCACATAATATTTCTGATCTATTTTTACAGACGTTACCTTCATTTAAAAAAAAAATGCAAATAAAGCTGAACCTTGACTAAACTGATCTAACCTCTTTCTTTTCAGCTGGGTACCATAGTTCACGAAATGGGTCACGCCATTGGACTATTTCACGAGCACGTGCGCTCAGACAGAGACCTGTATGTTACTGTAGACCTCGACAGCACGAAACAGGGATTTGAAGGGAATTTTATCCAACCCGATATAGGAATGACGACAAATCATGGGGTTCCTTACGACTACGGTTCTGTGATGCACTATAGGGCCGTCGTAAGTATTTCCGTTCTTCATTCTTTTCTTACGATACGTACACTGTAGCATGTACATATTACACATAAAAACAAACACACTTCTTTACTACAGATAGCAATGTCAAAAATGCAATAAAAATGAAAACACAGTAAAATTAGCTATACAACACATCAAGTGTTAAGAAATGCAACATGTGATGTAATATTAAAGACTGATTTTTCAAACTAAAATACCATAATACCATACTTAACAAACATAACGAAAACACAAAATAAATTTTCCTAGTCATCTGTAATGATGTCGTGAATGAAAGAGCTCAATGATTTTTTTAAATTCTGTTAAGTTAATAAAGTAAACATTACATGGTAATCGAAGATTATTTTTGATGTCTGAAATTTGGTATTTTTAAAGCCACGTTTGACAAAAGACCACATCCATATATACATGTAACTTCGTATATTCCACAATAAATGTATGCAGATGTCATATATATATATATATATATATATATGGACTGGTATGATATCATTTGGAGAATATATATATATATATATATATATATATATATATATATATATATATATATATATACACACACCAGTCCATATTCCACCATATGTATATAATCCAGGCGTTCAGCGTGGACGGTACAACGCCCACCATACTAACCAACGACCCCCTGTACCAAGGCACCATAGGCCAAAGATGGCAGCTGTCCTTCAACGACGCTCTCATTGTTAACAAGGCGTATTGCGCGGGTGAGTACGAATGGATTTATTTCAAAATATTGGGATCTTAGTTATTAAATAAAACCCTTGGATGACACATGACAATCCTCTGGCATATTTGCAATGCTGACCTTCGTGTACTAGTAAGTAGTATGTATGGGCATACATGTAGGACACTATTGGGCCATGCAGTGTAAAACAAGCGGACTCTCCATGTGGAACATAGAGTTCTCCTCCCTTTCTGTCCATACAGGTTAGGTTAAGCGTGACGTTAGTGGTTCAAAATAATTTTTTTGCGTTATTTCTTTAAATTTATTGCATGTGTGTGTGTTTGTGTGTGTGTTTGTGTGTGTGTTTATGTGTGTGTATGTGTGAGTGTGTGAAAAAGGGCCTTTCACCGTAAAACAATAGCCAGTTCAGAGTAATGAGGAACTTTGCCACTGCAAATTATATGTTTATTATATACATGAAGTGTAATTATTATTATTGTTATCCATAATGTTGTAATTCAAGTTTGAATTATTTCAGATCACGAAGACAAATGCACCGGAAGTCACCAATGTAGAAATGGTGGCTATCCTAATCCCAACAATTGTCTGGTATGCTTATGTCCAGATGGTCTTGCGCCGCCATATTGTACGGAGCCAGAACCACCTGAAATGGGTAAGATAAGAAAAATACGAAGAAAACAATTGTAGAGCTGTATCTTCGTGTTTCTTCTCAATGTTATTTGTGTTGAGGCCTTGACGTAACAGGACTGTCCGGAGACTGGCACATTTTACTTGTAACACTACAAATAAGACCTACAGAGCTCACTCACTTGTTCATTCCGACCTAGATGGCAATACTTTATGTAGCAAATGAAATGTCAGGATTTTATTTATTTATGTATTCATTTATTTTATGTATTAATTAATTAATTAATTAATTAATTAATTTATTGATTAATTAATTAATTTATTTATTTATTTATTTATTTATTATTATTATTATTATTATTATTATTATTATTATTATTATTACATATATCAAAGGCCAGCTCTCTCTCACAGTGTAACCTAAATTAGCCACCTATAAGCCAGGTATCTCCTAATTACAGACGTGTGTGGCGGTACGGTTATTTTGACAGAGGAAAACCCGAGGACTCTGGAAGTGAAATCACCGAACGAATACCCATCCTTCTACAAACCATTCACAAGATGCAACTGGCTGATCGAGGTATGGAGCACGTAAATTACTGTCATAACTTCTCCTAGAGAAACTTCTAACGAGAAGTTATTGATACATAATGTTTGAGACGGCGGTGTTTTCAAATGGAATTTTATGTCAAAACAATTATAACATAGCCATAACGATTTATGACCAAATCCAACAGTTGCAATTGAACAGTAAATTTTAAAAAACTCAAAATTAATTTTTTATTATGAGGATAGCTGTTTGAACAATAACTAACCGTTATTTTTTATTTTTATTTATTTAATTATTTATTTATTTATTTTATTTTATTTTTATTTTTTGTTGTTATTTTAGTGGTCATTAAATTTTCGAAAATACTCCTTTCGACTCTGTATTTAAACATGATAATATCTATCTATCGTCATGTTAATATATTGTACAGACACATAAAACGGTCTAAGACAGCTACAGAAATTGTGTAAGTGTGTGCGCTTACGCCCCTGTGTGTGTGAAAGTGGAGTATGCATGCATGGGTGGTTTGTATCATGGTAAAACAGATAATGACAACATATGACCTTTTACTCACACTTGCAGGCCTCCACTTCTGATAGTGTGTGTGCGTGTGTGTCAATTATCTACCATATTAAAACAGCAAAATAAACGTATTTAACCAATTATTTTATAGGCACCTCCAGGCTACCTTATACAATTCCAATTTATACCCAAAGAATCTTTCGTTGGACAATTCGGAATGTACACCACGGATCTACCTTGTAGTTCCTCGAGTAAACAGTGCTTTGATTTTGTGGAGATTAAGTACGACGCCAACGACTTCGGAACAACTGGACCAAGGTGAGTGTATGGACACTGTACGAACGGGGTACCTGTATAAAGAAATGTTCCAGTAAACACATGAATAACCTCTGACGCAAACCAGTACTCAAGGGTATTTAAGTGACGCTCCCTATGGCGTTGTCTACATAAAATAACTGGCCAGTCATTATAAGCAGCGGCCATCTTCCTATATGCTCCTATGCACTGGTAATATCAACATCAAGTACGCACCAGTAAAATATTAAAAGGGTTAAAGCACTTTAAGGTGTATAAAAGGTTGTATAAGAAGCTGTGAACTGCAAAAATAAGCGTTTGGGGAAGTTTCAAACCCATGGAGTGTACCTTTAAGCAAAACTGTTCTATTCTGCCTTTGGATTATTGGTCATTATTGAAGAAACTGGTGTATGCGATAATTCTTGTTTACAGCTTTAAATGTCAGACTAAGAAAAGAATTTAAAAATCTTTAAAACTGATCTAAAAAAAATCTATCATTCAATATTTATTTTCTTAATTAGTCGGGTATGCTTTGATATACAAACGAAGACATTGGGGAAATTTCAAGAAGTGTCAATTTCAAGAAGTGTCAACATCGGAAAGAACACCTTTAAACTCAAGATTTAGCAAGTTTATTTCCCATACAACAAATTATTTTCTAAATAAAACCATTTTTTTGTGTTGCAGATTTTGCTGCAGTGGTGAGCCGACGGCAGTGGTGACATCCGTCACAAACAGAGCCCTCGTGTTGTTCAGATCGTATCTGCAGTTTTTCATATTAATCGGCTTCCAGATGGACGTCAGTATAGGTGAGAGGCGAAACTTTCACTTTCGTTTTCCTTTACTATATTTTGTAATGTTGGATGTGAATTTACATGTACATGAGAGGAAAAACTCAGTTTCGTTTTCAATTCCCAACTTGCTTACGGCAGCCTACCCGGATTTATGAAAGAGCGCTCTTACATGTAGTTTTCAGTGTTGATTTAATCAATATGGAAAGCACATTGGAAGCATGATTATCCCATTGAATTTATCTATTTAAGTATTTATCTTTTCTGGTATTTTCCAACGTAGCTGTTGGTAACGTCAAACATTAAAAAATATGTTGCTGTTTTCAGTGCCAGATCCTAATGCAGTCATCACAACCACAACTACTACACCAACCACAACTACTACACCTACTACAACTACTACACAAACCACAACTACAACACCCACAACAACTACTACACCAACAACAACAACAACTACACCAACCACAACTACTACGCCCACTACAACTACAACACCAACTACAACACCCACTACAACTACAACACCAACCACAACTACTACACCCACTACAACTACAACACCAACCACTACTACTACACCCACTACGACTACA